ATCTTTGATCTTGGAAAGCCATTTAGCAATTTAGTTTCTCTGTTTTCTCTTGCAGAAGGAAGAGGGTTATATTGCTTATTTCTAAACACTCTTCCAGTGCCAGCATTTTACAATTTTATTGTTTTATTAGAGGTAGAGACAGGCAAGGTTGTCTTCCTTGTTAGCAGGAAGGGAGGTGGTAGAGAGGTGGTATGTCTGAGCCTTTAAACAAATGTTGATGATACAAGGATAAAAGTGAGTGAAGCCTGCCATAAGCCTGGGACTTTAGACTATAAGGTATAAACAGATCCAAAGTTAGTCTGCCTCTTTTCTGTTTCTTTCTGATATACTCAATGGGACAATAATGGGCACTCCTGTTTTAGAGAAAGGGCCATCCTCTCTGTATGGAAAGAAAATCCTTTGACTTGACATTTGGAGAAATGTAGAGAAAGAGGAAATATGTGAAAAATTTAAAGAAATTTCTGTAAGTTATTCTGTTTCACAGCAATAGTCCTTGATACTTATTTGAATACAAGAATTATGTATCAAGTCTAATTAATATTGACTTACCCACAGATCAGAGAGTTATTTATTGGAGTGAAATATTGTATGTGCTGTTAGAAAAAGCTCTGTATCTGAGAGTAATGACCTTTGCTTTGAAAACAGAGAAACAAAATAAGTGTTTTAGATATGTATTACTTTAGGTTTCATTATAAAATACCCAAATATTTCAGCTTTGAAAACAAGTAATGTGATAAGAATTTCAGATAGGATTATAAAAGTCTTTCTGCTGTCATAATTTATTCAGATTTTTCCATGTGTCTTCTCTACTAAAAATCTGCAAAAGTCTAAGTTCAATACTTTTTAATATCTTTCCTACTAAACTGATGCTTCTGGACCAGCAGCACCTGGTGCTGTCAGAAGTGCTAACTCTGGCTACACCCATGACCTGTAGAATCACAATCTGTATTTCAACCAGATTTTGTGGGCGATTTGTATGCTTATTCACGTGCGGAAGCATGTGTGTAGTGAAATGTCATTAACAACATAAAACTTCTAAAAATCAATCTGATGATAGAGTTATGGGAATTAACATTCTTTATGCTCAACTTTTATTTCAATATAGTAGTTAAAGTTTATACTGTTTATGGTTTAAACTGTTACAGTTATCTCACCTGGCATGTGGTAGCAAAATGTAAAGTCATTTAAAGATGTTTTATAATTTTATGGCTTTTATCCATTGTATTTCTGTCATTTACTCATAGTAGACATTAGAAGATTCATTTTTCCTAAATTATTCATGATTATACTTGAGATGCTAACAAATACTCATTCATAGATATTGTGAACACAGTCCAAATATTAGTATGCTCTTTATTTTATGTTAAAAGAAGGATCATTGTTAAGTCAAATCTTATTACTTTTTCATTTTCATTTTCTGTTTCCTTATTTTTATTTATTCCATGTTTTCTTTTTTTGTTTTAGTTGGGTCTGGTAAGTTGACATTTTATTGGCCATCTTCTAATCACCGTGTCACTGTGACTGGAACTTCTCTTCCCTTTTCCATCCATACCCTTCCATGTCCTTCAACCAATCAGCTCCATGTTTCACTTGTCATTGGCCACAAAGACAGACTGCACAGAATAAAGTCTGCAGGAAGTATGGGTAACTGTGACAAAGAGTAAAGGTAATGGGGTTGCTAACTTTATGTCTCCTTAAGTAATGTATGATCTGCATCTTTTAATTTCTTCTTTCATGACATAAGTGATAAAAATAAGTCATAAGACTTAACTTAGTAAGTACTAGCTCAATTTGTGTCTGATAAGATCAAACAAATGATAGTATATACGCCCAGAGAACAATTGGGGGTTTTTCTTTGCTTCAGATTTGTTCTTAAATTAATGTCTCTGAATTTTTGTAAGTATGGCTCAATAACAGTCATTAAAAATCTTCTTGGTGAACAGCTTTGCACGTAGAGCTGGTTTGCTTTCATTTTCATTTCTTATGTCTGATTCATTTCACTTTATGTCTGAAATAACCACATGACATGTTGAAAGTTTATCAAACCTTAGGCCTCCTGCATGCTAGACAAGTGCTACATCCCCATCTGAGGAAGAAAAATCAAAAATTGAAACAATAGAGATTCATTAAATGATTTATATTTTATATAGACTATTAAGAAGTCATTAGAATGATATTTTAATAGAATATTTTAAAGCAGTATGATCCAGTTTGCATGGTAGAATTTTGGGTGGCTTTTCTTTTTTCCTTTTTCTAGTTTTTCCAAACATTCAACACATAATATATATACATTGGTAACATGATTATCTATTTTTAGTTACAGCAAGTTTAAATGTTTTAGTCTTCATAAAACATTTCAGGGCTTGGAGCATGAGTCAAATGTTAGAATGACAATCTAGCAAGCATGAGGCCCTGAGTTTAAACCCAAGTACAATAAAAAAATAAAATTCCCATAAGTCACCACAAATATAAAGCACATACATATTGTGAATGGCCTTCTCAATCTCCATAAGTAATTGACAATAATAGCTTGACACATAAAAGCATATTTAGTCTTTTTTCCCTAGAAGTATGTCTGCATCTAACATTTAACACACATATAGAAAAAGATTATTTTAAGGGGTTTAGCTTTGTTGCCCAGGCTGCCCTCAAGTTCCTGGATACAAGTGATCCTGCTGCTTCAGGCTTCTGAGCAGTTGGGGATACAGATGCCAGTCTGAAGAGGAGTTTTAAAAGTTTTATTTCTAAGACATATCTTGTGGTTGACGTCATTGTTGATATTGGCTTGAGAATATGCCTACAAAATGTAGTAAATTCATTTCCAGGCAAATATCCTGTGTGGAAGGATTGCTTCAGGATAAATGTAGTTATCATAAGGGTTTGTATTGCTTGTTCCCAAGTAAGTCTTTGAGGTTTGAGGAGAGTTGGCATTTTATAAAAGAAGCATGGACTCTGGCACACATTCTTAGACATGCTCCTGACATTTAGGAAAGAGACCACCCGAAGTTTCTACTTAACTAAGTGGTTTGAACATTTATATTTTCCTACTCAAATTTCCTTCATATTGGAAAGTCATATTCTCCCACTCATCTAATTAATCATTTGGTTTTCTTCCATTGAAAGAAACCAAACTCTAGTCTGGGTTTAGTTTATTATCCAGCCAGTCCTTCCAATTTCTTGGTCTGATTTCTGCATCAATTATTCCATCCTTAACTAAGGAGCCAAATGCTCCTGTATGGAGTTGTACTAGAAGAAAATCCCCAAGCAACGATGCATATGCCTATTATTATACCTGGGTAATGATAGTGTTTGCTAAATTCATGAGAAAACCACTTAATTGCAATCACAGTCTTTTTTAAAAGAAATTATAAGCTAGAATTCAGTGTTACCAAATTGAACTTAAACTACATCTCCTAACTTTGCTTTTTCTTCTCTGGAAGTTAGAGGACATTTGAAAGCATTTGACCTGATTTTTCAGATCTCCTATAATTTTCCAGTCAGATGGTATAATTTCTACTAAACCTCACTTTTTGAACAAAAAAAAGGGCGTAGAAGAAAACACAGTAATCTAGAAGTTAGAAGATCTAATTACTTTCTGTAGTTTTGCCATCATGTAACCATAGACAAGTCATTTTACATTTTCTTTATTAAAAGCCTTTTCATGTTTTAAAAATATTTACAATTAGCACACATATTAAATAGGCATTAGTGTCCTTTTATGACATATCTATTTAAGTACCCAGAAAAAGGTATATTGGCAATTTTTTGTAAATGTACACACTTTATGTATTATATAATATTACATATATATATATATATATAAAAGATACAATTGACCAGAAATTATTTAGCAAGAGAAAAATATCCTTTCAAGTACTGACTTTCACTAACAAAGAACTCATACTCATGAGCAGGATGGTGACATCTGAGGACATGATCTAAATATGATTTTTAATTCATGTTTTCTTTAGGGTGCTACCTTAAGTGACTGGCATAGGTTAGAAATAATGGAATGTCTTAGAAAATAGATCAGCAGAACCCTGTTCTATACAAAGCATTAATGTCTGTGTTGAAATGTGTGTTCACTTCAATTTGAACTGAAACAAGACAGAGGAATTAGGTATTTCAGAGAGTTGAGAACAAATGCATTTGAAAAGTGTAAGCAGTAGGTAAGAAAACTGATTCACTGCACATTTTTCCATGTACAAAGCTTAGCCCCCAAAGAAGCATTTTTTTCCCAGGGTGGCTCCATCAGCATACCTGATATTTTCAGCTACCATTGCTCTCACTGTAACTGACACAATTTTCTGACACTCTATTTACTGCTGGATGAAGTGGCCATTTGTGTCTATATAAATCAAACAGTTTGGACAAAGCTGGCAGTATTTATAATGTCAGGATGAGCAGATGGTTCAAATTTGCCCTCATTTCCATACATATTCTGTTTGAACCTGCCCTTGGCTATGTAAATGAAGGAAGCACATGACTCCACTATTGCTTTAAATTCACTTATATTCAAGTAATTGGACTTGAATATTGAAGATTTTAAATGGTTGCAATTTGCATGGTAGTATGTCAGGAGCTTTTGAGTTAAATTAAAGTAATTTTAGGACCTGCTTGCATCAGGAGGTCCTTGTGTGCCTATGATTGATGTTCACTCACCTTTAAGTAACTCCAAATGAAAAAAGACAATATTTATTCATCCATATTTCAAGTATACTTTGACTGTAAAGGGTCAAATTGTAGCTTGAGAATTCTTTTTTTAAATATGAAAGGTTAATCTTAGAAGGTCAAGCAGTGTTTTCACAATAAAACTATTTCATTCTATAAATAGGTATTCAACAATTTAACCTCAAATTAAAGGGTGAGAATTGGTCCTGTTATTATGATTGTACACACCATGTTACATAAATAAAGACAACACTTGGGATATCAGGAAGCTGTCTGAAGGCCATAACTACAAGCTTTGGATTCAGTGTAATTTGTCTTATTTTCCTTAGAACCTCCACATTTTGTTGTGAAACCCCGTGACCAGGTTGTTGCCTTGGGACGAACAGTGACTTTTCAGTGTGAAGCAACTGGAAACCCTCAACCAGCTATTTTTTGGAGGAGAGAGGGGAGTCAGGTACAATCTTTTCATGAATGCCAGATATCTGAGAAGGAAAAACCTGTGCATTACCTTTTTATACAGATGTCACATTGAGAAAAAACAGTTTTGAGTGTTCTAGGCAACTCCAGAATGAGAGAGAAGACAAAATTGTCTTCCTTGTTTTAATTCTCTCAATTGTCCCTACCTGGCTTTGGTACACAGGGTGCTATATAGAAGCCATTGTTTTATCATGTAAATGATACTTTTATTTCTAATTCAGCCATATTAAATAAAGCCTACTCTTTATTTTTTCAACATAATTTAATTATCCTATTATTCATCTTTCTGGAATTATACATTAATAAATTTACATATATTTAAAGTAGACTATAATTATTCCGTGTGATTTCTCTGAAAACATTAGAAATCTGAAGTACATTTTGAATCCTGAAGCTCTACAAAATTCTGTTTAATATCAATGTTATGTTAAATATAGCTCCATATATTCTATTTCTTAAAACTCATACATGATCACTATTTGCCATTAATCCTCTTCTCTAGACATTTTATAAACCAGAATCTTTCCTATATATAAAAGCTGGATTATAGAGATCTATACTTTTTCTAATTCCATTGAGCTTCAGTTGAATAAATAAGAAATTTTTAAATCATTTAAGTAGTCTTTTTAGCTCTTAATGATTTGCTTTGTTCAATAAAGTGAAATACTTTTAACATTTTTCATACTTGTAAAAAACATTTCTCATTCATTTTTTAAAAGTTACCCTCAATCTCATTTATATTTATTTGAATCTGTCTTTGATGTTTCATGGTCTTGCTCTAATGTGCTTTTATAAACAGCAAACAGTAAACGTCTGTAGGCAATGCTATCAGGTTATCTCTGGCTTTTACCTTGGTTGACAAATATTAACTTGATTGTGGTATGTGAGCCACCAATTGACTACCTTGGTGGATTCTAAAATATTCATTTGGCCTCATAGAACTAAATTTACTCACTGAATCTTAAAGACAAAAAAAAAATTTAACGTAGCAGAAATTGGAAGTGAATTAACTTCTTTTTTAGAAGAAAATCTGTGTAGCAAGAATAGTGAACCTTTAGTTCTTCTTATAGAATAGAGTATTCATTTAAATCATTTAAACTGTAGATCGAATTTTTAAAAAATTGCTTGGCTTGATTTAATAATGCAAGTCATTTTTTTCCACAAAACTCTGTCATGGAGTGGTAGTTAGTCCTTTATAAATTGATGCATGATAAAAAGCACAAAAAGCTAGAAAGAAGCACTTCATTTGATTAGAGAAAGATCAGTATTATTTATTTCATGAAACACAATGACATTATGTATTATTCTGCATGAAATGTGCACTCCTAGGAAGCAAACCTTTTGATTCAACTCAATATATGAATTACAAAAAAATCTATAACAGATATTCCTACTTTTTATCAGAAAAATCAAGATACATAACTTGTTAAGAAATTGAAAAATTATCCTGAATATTTATAATGGACAGCTAACAGAGACGCTTGTTATGGTGCCTGAGTTGATCAGAATGTGTTTCAGCTTTTAATTTGCGTAGTATTCAAGGTCCTAGGTTTATCATATTAACAACCACACATGTTAAGCCAGGCTTTTGTCATAGTTTGCTTAAAAATGAAAAAACTTTCACTCTAACCATACCTGATATCCTTATATATCTAGTATTATTTTAGACTTTAATAGTGATTAAAATATATATTAATATTGAGAATTCATTTAAATTTTAGATGACACCATTTAAGTTTGTAGTATTAAACTGGATGTGTGTTTGATAAGGTTCATTCATATATGTGCACATAGACATTACGAGGGTTGGTCATGAAGGAATAGTTTATTTTTCTATACATATGCATGTGTATATATTTTATACATGTATTTATAATTGTGTATATAGCTGCCAAAATGTTGTGACGTAGAAATTAACCTATTTTTATTCTTTCCTCCAAAATTCTGGGTTTTAGAATTTGCTCTTTTCATACCAGCCACCGCAGTCATCCAGCCGGTTTTCTGTGTCCCAGACTGGTGACCTCACCATCACTAATGTCCAGCGATCTGATGTTGGTTATTATATCTGTCAGACTTTAAATGTTGCTGGAAGTATCATCACAAAAGCGTATTTGGAAGTTACTGATGGTAAAGTAAAACATTTTATTTCAAAATATTTTATTTCTTAGGCTTAGCGAGAGTGCCAATAGATGTATGTATTTATTTCCAACTTTACATTCTTTCTTTTTTTCTTGTTTTTTGATTAGCACATCATATTTGTACAAGGAAAATACATTTTGATATTTGCATATGTGTTTACAATATATCCTGATTAAGGGCACCCCTTCATCATTCTCCCTCAGCCCTCCTTCTTAGAACAATTTCAGCATGTTTCATTATTCGATTTTCATACATGAATATAAAATAGATCCACAATATTCACCCTCCTTCACCCATTCCTTTCGCCCTTCCCACTCCCTCTGGCACCCACTCCTAGAAAGGACCTGTTTTACCTTTCCAGGAGGTAAAGAGTATATTGGTAGTCCAAGGGAGTTTGGCTTTGGCATTTCAGATGTGTATAGATCATGCTTTAATCAGATTAATGCTTCTTTACTCACTCTTTCTCCATCATCATGCTCCCCTATTATGCAGCAGCTCACAAGGCACTACATTCTGTTATCTTCCTATAGATGATGGTTTCAGTATTTTCTAATTTCTAACATTCTGTTTCCCTCCCCATCTCCTGTAGTCTCCTCAGACTAATACAATCTTGTCTTCTCTCTCCTCCTCTCTCTCTCTCTCTCTCTCTCTCTCTCTATATATATATATATATGTATAGGTACATATATGTGTATTTGTATGCATATGTATTCATGTGTACATTCATCTTTTTATTATATTATTGTTGTACTGGGTACAACATTTATAAAAGTTCTTATACTATATCATAGTTGAATATACTCCCTTCGTCATTCTCCTACACTTATATTGTAGGTCTAGCTTTCACATATGAAGGAAAACATGCAGCCTTTAACCTTTGATCCTGGCTTACTTCACTTAACATGATGTTCTCCAGTTCCATCCATTTACCTGCAAACAACATAATCTCGTTCTTCTTTATGGCTGGATAATACTCCATTGTGTATATATACCATATTTTCTTAATCCATTTATCAGTTGTGTGGCATCTTGGCTGTTTCTAAAGCTTGGCTATTGTGAGTAGTGCTGCAGTAAACATGGGTGTACAAGTGGCTGTATCACATCCTGGAGCACATTCCTTCGGGTATATGCCCAGGAGTAGTGTCACCAGATCGTACAGTAGTTCTGTCTTTAGTTTTTTTGAGAAGCCTCCATATTGCTTTCCATAGTGTTGCACTACTTTGCATTCCCTCCAACAGTCTATGAGGGTTCTTTTTTCCCCACATCCTCACCTGCATTTGTTGTTGTTTGTGTATTGATGGTAACTATTCTGACTGAAGTAAGGTGAATTCTCAATGTCATTTTGATTTGCATTTCCTTTATAGCCAAGGATGTTATGTTAATTATTTCTTCACATATTTATTTTGAGAATTGCCTGTGCATTTCATTTGTCCATTTATTCAGTGGATTGCTGGTTCTTTGTGAGGTTAGTTTTTATATCTCCCTGTATATTTTGTTTATTAATTCCTTGTTAGATGGATAGCTGGCAAAAATTTTCTCCCATTCTGTAGGCTTTCTCTTCAGTGTAGTGCCTGTTTCCTTTGCTGTGCAGAAGTCTTTTCTCACATTATTTTTATATGAAACTAAAGAGGGTAATGATAAAACCCAAATTCTTCTTTTGGGCTGGAGGTGTGTCTCAAGCCGTAGAACACCTGCTTTGCAAACATGAAGCCCTGAGTTTAAACTACAAAAAAAAAATTCTTTTTTTAGCTAAAAAGCTTCTTTTAACTAAAAAGCTTGATTGATAAGATCAGCAATTATCTGAGTTTATACTGAACAGTTGTATGTAGAAATGTTTTTATGTTTTAGGAAAAACATGAGACATGGAAAAAATATTAGTTTGTAATCTCAGTGTAAATTATATTTCATTCTTTTTCCTCTAAATTAGGGTGATTAATATGAGTTGTTCATAAATCTAGAATCTGACAATTCACAACCCATGATAATGTACAAGTTTTTCTTAATAATCTGATTATATTCTACTTATAAATGCTTCTAAACATTTTCAATTATTGGCAAGTATATTTTAGAGATATGGTAATGGAGAAAATCTCCAAGTTATAAAATAAGGAGTACTGATAACTTGAGAAGATGGAAGCAGACAAGCTAAAAGCCTATAAATACATATTTATATATGCGCACATCTATATATGTGTATTTGAGATGAAAGAATATTTAGCTAATTAAATATGTATTTCAAATAAGGAAAATGCCTATCAGTATAAGAAATATGCTCATATGTACACATTTATTTCACATAAGAAAAATACCTATAAATACATAAACATATTTAGGATATTTAAAAATATATGTGTATTTATGTATGTTTGTGTGTGTATAATTAAGAAAATATTATAGTAAAAAATTCTTCTACAATAAAAACAGAACTAAAGACAAAATAGTGTTGAGGTATTTGTTGCTCATAAAACTAAATTCATTAGAGAAAATGGAATTGTCATCAGAGGACAGACGAGGGGGCTCCCACAGAGTCTCAGTCTCCAAGCAAAATCAAAGGTCCTTGAGATCCACAAATGTGACAAGCATTTCAAGGTGTCTCAAAACAAGGAGTCTCACAAGGTGAAAGTTTTAGCAAGGATGTATTTTAGTATAACAGGATAAAGGAGAGATAAGGTGGGAGGGAGGTGGAAAGGAGAAAGAAACATTTCCAGTTCCCCATGTAGGAAATGGGAGCAAAGACTTAAACTGGTGTTTCCCCATCGCCTAGTTTTATACTGGAGAGCTGGGGGAATATACATGGTCAAAGATAATGGACCTGAGTGGCTGAGATGACTGTTAAAATAGGGAGGGGTCATCCTCACAAATCACACCTAAAATCACATCCAATCACACCTACATCCCACCCAAATCACAGAGACAATAGTGTACTTTAGGACTTCCCTTTGATTGTTCTTCACACATCCAAGGATCCCTGTAGTTTGTTGACATCTCAAATTAGAAAGCAAATGCAAGTAGCTCCTCTATGTGTCTCTGTTTCTGTAACTTAGCATCCAAAAGGAGGATCTGTTTTTGGCTCTCCATCCTTTACTTCATTGTTCCAATGTCAGAGTCTGGCCCTTTAAATATCTATTAAGATAATATAATTTACCTCTCCTCATCTATCTATCCTGTCTCAGAATTATTTCTTAACTCTAAACAGTAGATGAACAATCTCATGCAAAGATAGAGACATTATGTCATGCAAGGAAGAAGATGGAACAGGAATTAAAGATGTTTGCTATGTTCATTTAGTGTACTTGATTTTTTTTAAGCATCAGGTAATGATTTAAACATCCAGTATAATAACGGTTGCTTCTTTAATTGTAAACCATGGCGGCATCTTTGACTTCCCATCCATCCTTATCACTGTATCCACTCAATACTGTTTAAAATCCATCAAGTTGTCTGCATCACTATCATAACCCCCAGTCCTTGTCATCAGTAGTCAGAACTGCAATAACCTTCTCATTCCATCTGTTTCTTATCACTGCCTCCCAAATTATATTTCTTCCACAATATCCCTCTTTTCTTTCCAATTATGTAAATTGAAATATAATATAGATTCAGATATAGATATTATAAAATAAGTAGAGTAAGTGAATGCAGTGTGATGAAAGAATTCATATGATGACAACACAGACCAAAATATGACATATTTCCAGGACTATTTCTAATCAAAAAGACTCTCTTTGGCAGAGATAGTCACTTTACTGACTTTCATCATCATTGATTAGTTTTGCCTACTCTTGAAACTCAGTTAAATGAAATCATAGAGTAGATAAGTTCATGTGTATGGTATCTTTGGTTCAAAATAGTCATTGGACCATGTATGTATCAGTAGTTCATTGTTTTTTAGTGCTGTGAAGTATCCCATTGCATAAATGTACCTAGAATGTTTATGAACTCTCTTATTGTTGGATTGTTTCCAGTTAGGGTTTTTTTATTAGTAAAGCTAAATATTCCTCCTATACATGTTTATTGGTAGTCATGTGAACTCAATTTTCTTGTTTTACCTTTTGGTTGACATCTGTACTACTTGTTCTCCTTTTTATTTTCTCATATATTCTAGATACAATTCTTCATCAGATATATTTTCCCTGTTTTTCTCTTAATGATTTTAAGGATTAAGCAATTAAATTTAATGAAGACCAACCTATTATTTTTCTTTTAGTACTGGTGCTTTTACTATCCTTTCCTTCCTTGAGACAACAAAACAGTGTTTATGTCTTTTTCTGGAAGCTTTTTTATTTATACCTTTGACATTCAAGATTTTTGTTCATCTTGAATTAATTTTGGTATGAGTTAGGGGTTAATAAAATTTTTTTCTTTGTGCAAATTAATTATTCCAACATCATTTATTGAAAAGACCATCCTTTATTCATCTAACTGCTGTGATATGTTTTCAAAATTCAAAGAAACATGGATGTGTGGGCAGTTTGTGGTCTCTCTTTATTTTGTTCCAGTGATCTATTTATTCCAGTACATATTGTACTAATTACTCCAGTGTTATAGTAAGTCTTAAAAATTGGTAGTGTTAGCCTTCAACTCTGTTTTAAATTTACTATTGGAGATCCTCTGCATCTTCATAAATTTAAAAATCATGTCTCAAAATTCCATATATACCCCCTAAACAAATAAGTTCTAAATTTTGATTTTATTTAAGTTTTTGGATAACTTAATGAGAACTAGCATCCTCAGAACCTGAGGTTTTCTACTCAGAGAAATGATTTGTATCCCACATATATCTCTCCATTTATTTAGATTTTCTTTAATTTCTCTCAATAATGTTTTAAAATAGAGTCCTTGCACATATTTTACTAGAATTATATGTAGGCATTTTATACTTTTTGGATATGACTGCATATGCATTTTTTAAATTTCATTATTCCATTGTTTGAGAAAAGTACCTCATGGTACAAGTGACTTTTGTGTATTAAGCTTGTGTCCAGCAA